ACAATAGCAAACAATTCTATAGAAAAGTGTAAAATAGAAAATGCAAAAGAAAAATGCAATGGGTTCAAGCATTTTCAAGCGCGGCGAAAGCAAAGCCGCATAATAGAATGTCGGTTCTATGCTCTGTTACACGTGAACAACCTCTCGATAATTATGATCCCGACAGTGATATCGTCGAAGGATAACCTCATAACGCTAAATACTTCCATTGTACCGCTTTGGCACCATTCACCTGTTAAATTAAATCAGTGTGTATGCAACCACTCGACGCTTTTCAAATGGACCTTTTTTTCCTCGTTTATCCATGTCATCCTCTCACATCCCCCGATATGATGTTATTGCCCACGCATATTCCTTATTTTTATTAGTTCAATCATTCCATTCAATAGAAAATGAAATGAAAAATTGTTGATTTCGTTTTTCAATGGGGCGTAGGTTGGAAATATATAGAAATAGATACAAATAGTTATGATATTTTGGATGTATTTGAAAATGTTCCACGAATTCGACTAGACTCGGTCAATAGCATGTTCACATATATATAGTCTGCGTACGCCAGTCATGCGGTAGTTAGGAAAGTGTTAGCTTATGCCAAGGCAAAAAGTTCAACGTAAATACAAACCGTCTGAGTAAAACCATTTTTTTGCGTTCCTTCTGGATGAGTAAATTTTTTCGCTCTGATACATTTGACTTTTGATTTAAAGACATTTTTCTTCGAGCTTTGGATACGGTTATAAAACGGATGTTCATGATAAAGAACAGTGCGACAATGAATCTACTAAAGAATAGAACAATCGATACAACAAAAAAAAAGTAATACAGATGTGTCCATCAAGATAGTAATAGACACCGAAAATTGCTTGCTAACGTGGAAAATCAACTTGATACAAATGTTCATTCATTTTTCTTTGTGTTTCTTCTTCTCATAATTCATCAGCTCCGGTCAGTCGAATTGCAAAGTACTTTCGGCGTGATGGGACCCCCCTTTTGACAGTTGGTGGCTTTACGTACGATTTTGTGCAAAATAAAACGACTTGCGAGGACGAGTACCATATGCTGATTCGTGTTGGTCTGCTGTCCTTTCAAACTATAGCCGATTTTACGGTCGACATTATGAAAAAGTGAGTAAACAACAATTTCTTTTGTCATTGCTATTATTTATAAGGCTGCGTGTGTGTTATCTCTTCCATGGTTTTGTTTTTATTCCTCTTGTCGCGTTTTATGTGTTTCCAAAAGGATTACCAAAAAAAATAAATGTTTATGGCACTTTTCGCGTGTTGATAAACCGCTCATTTTACGGCATCTTCCAGTTGTTAGATATTTTGTTAGTACATCCGGGAAACGATAAATAGATTTATGGTGTCGCGTTTAATAGTGGGCCCTTTTTAACGATGGGACCAGCTTTTTATTTTTGTTTACTTTCCATTATGTGTTTGTGCGCGCACCAAAACTATTTTTTTCGTTAGCTCCATTTTTCGTATTAAATACAGCAATGAAACAAAAACAAACAAAAATTGATTACATAAAATCACATTCGATTGTATTGACACGATTTGGTGGTGTGCTTAAATGACGTAATGAATGCTTTGCATTAATTTGCTAACTATTCAAAGTGTTATCGTTGTTGTGAAAAGTTTTACGAGTTTTAGTACTCTTTTTATGTACAACCATTAATCCATTGACGTTGTATGCTTTCTTCTAAGATTTGATTTAAGTACCTTTTATGCAGATTAAGAGCATTTCAGCTCGTACAACGATGAGTTTGGTGGGTTTCATTCAATCTTACGTTAAAGTAAAATGAATTGTCACTCTTCACATTTCTCTTCATTTGAGCGCAAAAGGAGTCCATTGTTTCGGTACGGAGGCAATGTATGTGTTTGTGTGGATAAAAAGGAAAATCGACAAGCATTCGGATTATGATAGATGACTCAAAAAGTTAATATTTGAAGAACAATGAAATGAGTTTTCTGCAAATAGATAAGAACAATCATGCGGAAATCAAACAGGGGATTGGTATTTTTATTTACATTTAGCTTAATATCTCATGTTTGAGAAGAATACAACCATTTTCCTCCGTCTTTAACAAAAGCTCAAGACACAACTTATTAATTTAATGTGTTTGTTCATCAGAACGACCAATTCATTTTCACTATGTATTGATCTAATCGTTCGATTGCCTGATGATAACAATTAAACACAGTGGATGATGACAACGATAAATAAACAAAATATCATGTTACTCACACCCAGACTCAACAAGTTTATTGTTTTTCATCCATTTATTAAAGGCACAGAGTCTGTGTTATTGTTGACGTTGAAATGTTGTCAATTTATTGTTTGGTGAAATATGTACACGGATAAACATTTATGTTGCGCCTAAGGGGTAGACTCAATTAAAATTCATATATTTCATATCTGAATGATGTGAGTTTATAGGGAGTTGAAAGTACTTGACACATTGTGGCTGAAACAATTCGATGTGAAAATCGTTTTTGACACCTCATTTTTTTCGAAGAAAACATTGAAACATTGATTCCCCTGTCTCACTGTGGAAATGTCTTCATCATTTATCTTTGTGGCCGCATGTCGTTGCCATGGTTATTATAATATATATATTCACAATAATCTTAACTGACAATACTAAATAAAACCAAGAATCGACTATTGAAATGGATCTTTGCTCACTTCGACATTTTTATTTTTACTCTTTTCTTCTTTCATCATTGCCATCGGCGTTATTCAGTTATGGATGGCATCGTGTCGTTTTCTTTTATGACCGAAACGGCCACTACAATGTCGGAGGATTGCATACATGTCATCTCTTAATGCAGACTATGGCTAATACGTATCGAAAGAAAAACATCACATACTCATCGTTTGTAACCGACTCCGCAGTCGGTTCTAACACCACCGAAAATCTAAAACGAGAAATTGGTCTGGATCAAGCAAGTAAGTTATTCATACTTTTTTATTCTCATTCTCGGAATTACATTTCCGATTCAAATCAAAAGCGTTACAATATATTATACGTTTACTACTGGATATGGCAAAAAATTACAAAAAAAAAAAGAAATTGCATTTTTTTTTGTAATGCGATGTCGTCGTGATCATGAATTTTTACCCATTTTCAATATCATTCGTTATTCATGTACGTTTCGATTTGACTGGTGATGGGAGGGGAAAAAGAATAATTTTATATTCATGTTGGCGCCTTTCGAATAAAAGAACTTACGTATGCTGCGACATGCATAGCAAGATCTTAATGGTTTGTTATGACACAGTGCATTTTTGTATGATTACACAAAGACATACTTCATTTTGCATAAAGGGTATTTCTTTCAGCTTTCACCGTTAATACATTATTCAAATCAGCATCACGGAGACACTTGATTAGAAAGGTCATGATTCACTTTCTTTTTATAAATCGAAATCGGAGCGATAAAAAAAATTATTTTTATTGTCAATAATGTTCAGATCAAAAGATATGAATCGTCAAACCACAAAATGAACAAAATACTTAAAAAGAGACGAAGTCTTTTTTTTTGGTTTCCAATAAAAAAATTAGTTTTAGAGACGAATTCGTTGTCCAGAAGTGGAATATCACAAACAATGGCTGTATTGATTTTTTATTTTAGCTCATTTACATAAAAAGTGCTTATTTCACAATTCAAATAAGTCTGTCGACTATCTAATAGATATATTTCGATAAAACCAAATCTTTGATCAAATAGGGCATTTTTTGTCACCATCTAAACCAAGACATTTTTTTTCTGCTTTTAATATTTTAAATAAAATACCCATTGTGGTATTTGGCAAAATAAAAAAATAGAACAAAAACCAGATTGAATGCTTCTTAATTGGTTACCATCACATTTTGTTTTATTGTTTTCGAAATGAAACCAGATATTAAGCTGCAAATGATGCGGCGAGTCAATCAATTTTAGACATAAAACTAACATACACCGTTCACGTTTACGTTTTCGAAGCCCACACGTCGTTTAGCCAAGGCATCAACCGCATCAAAACATGTTCCACAAATACGTTCGACTCTATATGCGAATGAGCGAATACATTAAACCATCGTCTACAAACATTCAACACGTTGGCATGTAACGCCGCTTACAAGCTGTTTTTATATATATATCATATATACATAGCAAGTATAACATGAACACAACGTTCGTATGAACGCGTACAGCTGAACACATTTCATTGGCCACGCTTTTTCATTTACACGATAATAAAAATGTAAACAAATAATTTTCTATTCAAAACAGTTTGAATCGTTTTCGTTGTTTTTGGTATTTATCAATAAAATGTGCTAATATAAGTAAATCAATCATCGTTTATTGTCGCAGGCAATACTCGATTATTTCGTCTCAATCAAAGTATAGAACACATGTTATTCTATATATAATATATATATACCTAGACTAAAGTCTAATAAAAAAAAAAAAAAGTGATATAAAAACTCATTGAGTGCAGTAATCGAAGCGATAGCACCAAAACCGATTATGTTGCGTATCAAACAGAGTGTGTGACGCTTATAAGCGTATACGGAAGCTGATTATAAGAATTCAACATTCTATTACTCATTTGATTAGAAATAGAAGTGGTCATTTGTGAAAGCCGCAAAGCGTACGTTCATCAAAGTATTGGTTACATTCGATGCATTTGTCGCGTGTATATTGCGATGTAGAAAAGAGACACGAAAACAACTAATACTTTTGCATGTGCCAATAATACGATTGTGTCAATAAAAAAAAAGAAACAAAAAAGAAACAAGAGAAACACAACTACAGTCACCGCAGGCGCTTGTATTTGTTTTGCCAATATATAGAATTACTGTGTATGTGAAAGAGATGGAAATAAAACATACAAAGAGAATTATAATTTTTTCTTCTCTTAATTTATTCGTTTCTGTTTTCGTTTTTGGTGTTTTTGTTGAATAAAATTTTGAATTCCAGCTTGAAAACGGCTAGTCTCGGTTTGTTGTTGCGCGTGGAAAGAAGAACGGCGACAAAGGGAACGATCTGTATATTTTAAACGAATAAAAAAAAATCGCGATCCTATTTTGCCTATAAGAGTGTAAATAAAGACATTTTTTTTCGATTCTTTTTTTTTTCATTTTTGAATCCAGTGTGAAATACAAAGAAAAAAATTCAGTTGTTTTTATTCTCTGGCAACGGTTCTTGCGCGTATACACCACATTTCATTTGGTTTTTTTGTTTCGAAGGTTGAACATCGAACGAATCCAATTAAAATCGACTGTCGATAAATACATTTTTATCCGAGGTGTCGATACTGATATGATTCAGTGTTATAATTTTTTTTTGTCGCAATAAGTGATTATATATAGGCGGGTGTGTGATTTTATTTACCTGTTTTTAAAACTTTGTTTGGGATAGTCAAAAGAGTTGAAAAAGGGCTAGCGAATTAAAATAGCCGCCCGCAGTCTGGCACAAATTTAATAAATTAAGTGGTGTCACAGAATGTTTGTACACTGAAAACAAATGATAAATTAATTTGATGTGATTTCTTTGATGCATAGATGTTTTGATTTAATCGAACGATAATACCTAATGAAAGGATGAAAAACGCATATACATTTATTTACGTTAATTCATAATGAATAATAACTCAAAGTAAACAAATATTGCAAAAAAAAATAATGAAATATGAAGTGGTGTGACTCTATCAAAATAACAACAACAAAGAAATGCTGACGAGCTCCGATAACAAATAACCGATTCGTCAGATATGGTGTTTTATTGTAAAATTAAATTTATTAAAATAATTCAACTTGAATTTAGAATAATCGCAAAAAGGAGTCGAAGTAACCGCTTCAAAAGTGAGATATAACAAAACAAGTGTGTAGTGCGCAAAACATTCGATAAGCCCATAGTTGAAGCCAGCTGAATATCGTTTGAATAAAGATAGAACTTTTGGAAACAGACCTGTTGCTGCTAAACACACAATATATAATCGAAACAAAAATAAAAAACACTTTGAAAGTGTAAATAATACATGAAATTTGGATGGTAAATTTAAGCAATGTTTTGGTGATTTTTTTCTCGATTTTTTTAATGACGTATTCGAACATTTGGTTTTTATTTGCTTTCAAGATATTTTCCTGCACTTCCTTGCTGTGGAATGTTTCCTTTTGGGTTGATTGTATCAATTGTTTCTTTCTGTCATAATTGAGATGACACTATTATTGAGACAAAACACTTTTGTGACGTTGCATAAATAGCAATGAATATGAGATTAAAATACATATATTTTATGTGATATAATTGTCTATACAACTTGGCAACATCTCATTTAACGATTGTAATTTTCGTTTTAAACAAATTGATGGGCATTAAAACGATCAAAAACTAAATGGCAAATGATTTTATTATGTAAATTATGGTCTATATTTAAATGTTTTTTTATTTACATTTTAATCTATTGATTTCGTTTGTGTTTCCTCATCTAAATGGATTCCCTTTAATGGTCATGCGAACCAAATTCTAGTCTAAAATTAGAATCGGGAGATTAAATATATTAATCGATTCGATTGAGATTTCAATTTGAATATGGTAATTCTATTCGCGTTTTATCTATTGTTCATGTTTTTTCGTGATTTTTTTTCTACTGTTCATAATGACGTCACATATGATTACATATTCGTTTGCACTTTGTGAAAAAAAAAATAATCTCATTAAAATTACCAGACTGCATGAATAAGTCATAAATTGAACAACCAAACTAATGGTAAATAAACATAGAGTGAATGTGGGGCGCTTCAATTAATGTACTTTTATAATTGCACTGCAGAAAAAACGTAATGAAGCGTTAAAAATATCATAGTCGTTTTATCCAACTCGAGTTGGTCCATAATGACGTTGACTTTTAAATTATATTGTACAAAAGAGTGTAAATGGACAATGAAAATGTAAAAAGTCGTTGTTATTAATTGCATTGACCAATTGAAAGAATGATGAACATTGAGTCAATGTCATTGACGATGTAAATTTTATGAATAGATGTCTGGATATATTCAGCAACACTCTGATAAACTTATTTGGTTCATGGTCACAGAAAATATGACAAAACATTTGTGGTTTATATGTTGATAATCATCGAAATGTTCGTCATAAATCAAACATTTTTATTAATTAATGCAACATTTTTAGTTTTCGTTGTTCTTTACTGTTCTCTTGAGCTTGCCGTAATGAAACGTAAATGCGATTTGTGAATTATTGGACTTTGGCGTTTGATTAAAACCAGAAAGAGATTAGTAATATTTTAAAAATAATATGCACACTGAAAAGCCTAAAACAAAGATTTGTAGCTTCCTACTGTGATTTGTGGCCGTATTTTTAATCGTATGATGTAATAACATCCGCACGTGTATGTAGGATGCGCAACTCGTATGATACGATCGAGAGTGTGAATATGTCATGAAATGCGAAATGAGTGTAATCAATCAACATAACTTTAGGCAATTAAAATGAATTGAGATGATTTTCTTCATAATTTTTTCCTTTAAAGTTAAGAATCAATGTTCGATACAGCAATTGCATTTTGAAGGTCTTTTCAGACGTGTGGTCTGGAGCCATAAACGTAAATATATTTGTAATAAGTCATTATAATAAACCGGGTAGCTCAATAACAGTAATGACTTCTTTTTTTGCAAAATCATGCATAGAAAATGACAATTTGTGATTTCAAAGTAATTGAGAATAAGCGTAAGATTGTAATTTATACGAAGAAAAATTGATGCGCATTAGTGAAATGCGATTGTTGTGAAGCTATCGATTACACCTGTTTGTCTTACAATTAAGTAGGCACGCAACCGGAATTGTAAGTGCAAAGAGCTGAACTATAAATAGGCAACTGGAAATTTACAATTCACTAATCTCTAAAGATGTATTTTTGCCAATATCGTGCACAACGCGGCCGCCTTAGAGTCTGGCTTATTTATATACTCCACATATTATGATTGAAAACAAGACAATCAATGAAATTCCTACAAATGAACGGCGACTTGAGAGTTTTATTTTGTATCTTTATTCTCTTATTCTCGCAATCATATGATTCCGGTTCAATTTTATTCACTTATTTTATGGTCGGTTTTTTTCCAAATGAAGTGTCCAACGCCTAAACAGAGAAATTGCAGACTACAAAAACTTTTTAGTGAGTTTACTCTTTAGTACTATTTATTATAAGTTTGCTAATCTCAATATCACATTTATATTGTGTGAAACTGAGTTATTTTTTTTCATAGACAATATTTTTGCAAGCAATTATCTTGTATGAACATTCAAAATTGACCATCATAGCAACCAAATTCTTTTGTAATATTCATTGGGTGCTTCAAATGACTCCAAAGCCTGGTTAATTGGATAAAAAAACATCAATAATACCGAATCGTTCTCATCTGTCCCACCTATTTTCGGGGAATTTAAACAAATACATTTATAATTTCTGAATAATGAAATATTTCCATCCTGGTTTCGATCTTTATGTTTGTGATATTTAAAAAAAATGAATACATCAAAATATTATCTCAAAAGAGCACGAACATTTCGAACAAATTTCATCTTTTCATCTGCACCAAAAGGCAATCTATTGTTTTGATACAGTAGATGTTCAAAGTCGTCGAAGATCAAACTCACAATTATCAGATTTGTTTTAAAATATCAATATTTTTACGATAAAAATGCATATGAATTATCAAAAGGCTCTTACTAAAAAACACTTTAATTATTAAAATGATTGTCTAATTATTTTTGAAATTTGTACGAATTTGCATACTGGAATTCACATCTCTTTCATGTGTATAAATAATGATTTCAATTCCTGAATCTGACGACTAATTTATTTGGCATTTTTAATTCTTCCGAGAACTTTGCTCACGTTCACAAATATAGTGATTACCAAAGCCTGTTCGAAACTTCAATGGCCATCAAAAAATGTGTGCTCGCTATTTTTAGAATCGCGTGACCTTAAGCGTGCTACAGGGTTTTTCGATTGATTATTACCAGCGATAAGCGCAGAGTTCTTATCTGGTTATTAAATTAATTCGATTCTGGCAATTAATGAACTTTATTAGTTTTATCATTGTCCGTTTTGGCTTCTTTTTCTTCGCATAAAAACATTCGACCAATTAACATATTGTCGATCGTTGTCAACGGGTTTCTTGAATTTGAATTTTGGCATAAAAATAAAATACACACAACGAATTTTAAACTGTTGAAACTAAGCAGTTTATTTTCAGAAATTTTTTATAAGCATTTTTTTTTGTTTTGTCACGGCAACTTTTTAATATATATATTTCTGGACTTTCTTAAGCAATTTTATTTCGGCGACGCCAATATCATCACATTTCAGCGTATGTTTTGTATTATAGAGTCGACGTATAGCTTTCAAAGCGGGATAATAAACCGATTTTTATCATGACAACTGTGTAAATGGTTCATTGTAGAAATTGCTAATTGAACGAGATATAATACAAAGTTCGATGAAAAAAAAAAACGATGAGACAATGAGCGAATGATGACCAAAAACGTAGATGAATTAACAAAATACGATGCATTCTATGACAGGCTAATGATGTCGCGATTATATTCCAACAAAGAAAAAGTCATCGTGATATTCAACGAACAAAAAAATCAGACGCGTTGAATGGATAAAGAAGTCGCACCGCAAAAATTGTAACCTGCCGTTCATTTTTGGCAACAAACTATATGCATCCGTAGATTCCAGATTTAACGTATAGCACTGTGTGACTTTTAAAAAAATTGAATGTTACTGCAACACTTTTTTTATGTGTTCAAAAACATTTTATGGTTCCTTTCATTGAAATTAAAGATTCTGGCAAACTTAATGTATATTATGCCGCTATAATTTCAGAATCCGTTTTCTTTCCTTTTTACCAACTCTTCAGATTATGATCAGCATTGAGCTATAAATATTGGAAATAGATCTGTAAACAATTGAACAACAAACAATTCTTCGATAAGATAATTGCAAAACCACACCTGATTTTTTTTTTCCACGGGCGAATTCAGTTCGGCAACTTGTTCATTTCTCCCATGATATTCGTCTGTACGCGTGGTGTGCCAAAAAACTTTAATTTGCTTTTATTGGTATTACACGATATATACGTGTTTGTATTGGTCGAAGTTTTATGTTTATGTCTTATAAAAATAATGTTCTAAAAATAAGCATCTTCAAAGAAGCCAAAGGCATTCACAAACACGTAAATGAGTATAATTCGTATGTTCTTACCGTTCGGTGATTAAGTATCGAATATGTTAAGTGTGGAATATTCAAAAAAACATGTAGTACCGCCTCCAGATTAGCATTTTAACGAGCGACTGTATGCTATAAATAGATCAGTAAAGTTTGATACATCAATTGAACACCAAATGATTGTTGTTTATTATATATTATTATTATTATGAGTTTGTTTCAAGCAAGGAAGCGTTGAATCGATTTTTTGTTGTTTTTTTTTTTTTTTTGAAGTTCAGACGACGCGTTTGTAAAGGCAGGCAATGTCAAGGCTTATGTGATACCATCAGCCGACAACGTCCGTTACGCATCAACGCGATATGACAATAATACGTGCACGAAATGTTTACATACAACTGCGGTCTCGTTGTTTATTCAAACAATTTAGCCACAAAATCCAGACAATACTTTGCATTTCCATGTGATCGCTTTATATTCACTAAATCCATTACAAAATCGATATTTCAATGTCCGATTTACAGTTTATTTAAATATTAATAGGGAAATAGCTGAATTAAAGGTTTTTTGTTGTTTTCTACAGTTCATATAGTTCAATTGCTTCCATTTTAGAACTATTTCTTTTTTTATTCGTAATTTGATAATATAATTCCATAAAACCGGTTCTAAATTACATGCTTCGGATCGCGTGTAAAGGTGTCAAACCATCACCAATTCATTCACGTACGCGTTGTATATTCATTGGTCTTCGTCGTCGCCACTTAATTTACTTTGTCCTATTTTCCACTTCGATTTTTTT